TGGATTCAACTGAGGAAACTCCTCCTAAACAGGCAGAGAGTTGTTATGTAATGCTCTATGGTGCTGAAAATAACATTTACACTTTACAGATGCTTTCATCCGAAGCGACTTACAGATAACCTAGATATGATATGATGTCATATAGCCTCAGGTGCATGGCATCCTGAACCTATTCCAATATTTTAATATTAATAAATACAATAGTCGTTCGCTCCGGCACCATAAGTATTACTCTCACAAACAGGCTCAAGTTTCCTTTGCACAGCGGACTGTTTAGCTCACAGAAAATGCGTTCCAGGTGTTCATGTCAATATAGTTTTTCTGCAGTCTTTTTGTGCACTGTTTGACATGAGTGATCATACAGCTTTGAGATGTTTGAATCATCTCATTAAAATGTTAGATTTACCTCAAAGACCAGCTAAGCTGAATTTCGTCATATGCTCTTTGACACATTACTGTTGCCTCTGTCCCGCTTCTTTGTTTGTATGTCAAGCCAACTGATAACTTGCCTGTCCACTGCATTTTAAATTTATTTTTCAGTCAGGATACAAACCAGGAGACAAACAAAACTGATCATACTGTGTATATTCCAATGGAAAAATGAAGAAGAAGAAAAAAAAAGCTTTCACAGGTCACTCAAGATCAAGGATCTCTCTCTATTTTTAATTTTTTTTTAAATATAGACAAGAATGAGATTAAATGAATTTTTCACAGATGAAAGAGGGTTAGGAAGGGTTAATAAAAATGAATCAGCTTGTCAAGTTAAAATGATTAATTTGGAACAATTGCTCCCTTGAATATTCAAAAAAAGTCCTTAGCTTTGCTTTTATAATCAGTCTTAGATAGAGAGAAGTGCAATTTCGGTTGTTGTTGTTTTTTTACAACCCTAATTTGCAGAGTGTATCAAGGACATACAACTGACTGATACTGTGATACTCAAACAGATACAGAATATGACATGAATGTTGACACAAAATGTCCTAGCAGATGTTAATATGAAGCACAAGCAACACCCATCAGTTCAAAAGAAAACCAGGGCCAACATAGCAAATCATATACAAACAATACAAAAGCAAGCATTTAGTGCATTGCCAGTCTTTTGCTTTCTCACATACATAATTCAACAGTTAGATAACTTACCAAATCAGATGAGATATGCCTTTATCCAGATGAATAAGCTTCTTTACCTGAAACAATATAAAGTGTATCAGTGTATCTCATATCCCTGTACATTTGTTGAATAGTATCGGAGGTGTTTTTTTTATTTTTACAATTTAAATGAACTCTGGATTATTGTAATCATTGGTTATCTAGTGAATTTCTCACACTGTTCATTATACTTTACCCTGGTTTAGTAATCAATCCTCCAGATTTCAGGATTTACTGTAGGCTACGCTTGTAAACACGGGTTTAGCGTTCGTATTTTGCGTATTTATGAGGTTAGTAACACTGAAACGGAAGTGTCGCCATGTAAATTCGCTCTGGTTGTCTTCTGACATATATAGTACAATGATTATGTGTATTATAACGACAATTAACGCGTTTGGCGTTTAACATGGGGTTAAACAGCGCGAGAGAGTTCATCCGATTATACATACAGCACATTAATATTTAATGAGGTCAGGTCAGCGCTGAGGCTGTTTATGATTGGCTGAAAGTTGTTGATTGGTTTCCAGGTTTAAATTATACGGGTTGTAAAAAGACATCAAAACAAAGTGAAATATGTAAACCTGCTACTAAAACTTTTTTACTATCTCCTCCTTTTGAGTTATATTACAGTTATTGAACATTTTAAAATATTGAATGAGCATCATGGTGTGTGTGTGTGTGTTGTAAATAAATGATATTATGTTTAGTTAGCTGTCTATTATGTTTAGATTTTTCTTCATAATATATCTTGTTTGGTTTTTGGCTGACTGTTTTTGAGGGCTTGTTCTGAAAGTTATAACAACTCATGTAAATAATTGGAGAAGAGATTAATATATTATGGTAAGGCAGCACATCAAACTTCAGTGTCTTTCTCTCTCATTTCATTCCAATGCTGGAAAGGCAAAATAGCTAAATAAACAAAGTATTTGCTGATGGATCTGTGTAAATTTGCATCAAGAATAGAATATGTTTAAGTCTATGACACACAAAAAATTGCATTATGTAAAGGCCAAAGGTCGCAATGTACAATGTATAAACAATAATTTTACAAGTACAACAATCTACTCAGTTGCCTAAAGCAGCATTAATGCTTGTCAATCACAATGACAAACATAATTTCATTTAATTCATTTAGAACACTGAAGATCTGACAGATGTAAAATATTCACTCATCTGATTTAAGTTTGATTGAAAGATCTTCTCCCTGGACGTCTGGCCATCTTTCCAGGCTCCGATCCAAGAAACAACATCTGGCACTATTCATCGCTTGCTGTGATTGCTTTGGTTCTGACACATGGTCCGCCTGCTGACAGGAACACACTCTACGGTTTTAGTTTGTGTGACGGGCCTCCGGTCCTGGTCCGCTGACACTCGCAGCTTTTGTTGTCTAAGCATCCGTCTTTCCCGAGCTTTGATCATGGCACTGAAACATTCCAGCATGTTTACTGCAGAGTACAATGCAGTTTAAATATTCATGTCAGGTCAGTTTCAGTTCTTGGGCAATTCTGTGAGACAGACGGACTGTCAGACAGATAGACAGATGATAGATAGATAAATAGATAGATAGATAGATAGATAGATAGATAGATTGATAGATCTCATTGGTACAGTCAGCTGAAATGAAGCAGATAGGTGTAGCACAACTCAGAGATTTGAGATCAGGGTGTGTGTGCAGAGTGTTATGTATCACCAGCTGTCTTTCATTCACTCTCACTTGTTGGTAATGTTAAACAGGGGTAGGGTAGGGTGTGGGGGGTGTTGCACTCGCTCATATGCTTTACTCAGTTTTTCGTGGTTTCCTGAGGAAATGACAGGAGCGGAGGGGGGATTTTGGCCACAATAATCCACTTTATGGGCCTTGGACTGATCAGATGGATGCCCTGCAGTGTAATTGCATCTATGCATTGCAATTATATTGCTTAAAGCACACTGAGAAGTGCTTTAAAACACATTGTGCATGTGAGTGAGCTGAAAACATCTGCTTATTCAAGTTGCATGTCATCATTACACCACCCTAACTGAATTTGTCAGTAACTTACTTATAATTGATGACAGAACAGTTAGAAATGCGTGAGGCTGCAATGCCAGCTCAAGCTTAAAACTTAAATAGGCAAAAAACCACAAGACCACGCCAATAACTCAAAGTCTTGTTCTTATGCACACAAATCCATATAAAAATTACATTTTATGGCACCATCACAAAAAGCAACCAGGAAATTAGCTTCCTCATATTTGTTTGCAACAAGGGAAAAGCATTACAGATTAGATTTTTATCTGACAAGAGACAGAAAACAGAGACAAATTTATGTGGTCAAATGTAAAGACAATCTGGATCTGGATATTATCCGAATATGAAAGTTATTATCCGGGATATTAGTGGCTGCATGTCAATGGGTATTTTCCCAAAATAAAGCACGAGGATCGTGTGGATTTTCAATTTAAAGTTGAAGACGAGTTCTTGTCCTTGAAGCAAGCTTATTCATTTGTGTTTGTCTCTATCTACTGGCTAAAGTATGTCAGTACAAGCAGCCAACCAGAATATGTCAACAAAATAAGTTTATTTGAAATAGAATTTTTAAAAACAGACAATAAACATATTTTCAGATAAAACTCTACTGCCCACAAAAGGATGCAACAGTCTTAGGCAAAGAATTTATGAAGTGAATTCTTTATGAAAATACATGCACATTCCATCTACAAACACATAATTCAAATGAAAGATTACATATATTATATCAACTATAACTAGATGGTTAAATTCATATTTTAAATCACATACAGACTTACATGCAGCTCAGATGAGAGATTGTTTATTTGCACAATGTTTTTACTGACATTAGCATAAAGCAATTGGATTACAGACAGTAATCAAAACAATAAAAAACAAGAATGAAACATTAAATCTTTTTCTTTTTTCTAACCATTTTTTCTCCAAATGACATTGAATTTCAATAAGGCTGACGTTGCTGTGGCAACTACACTAAGATTTTGCAGCTGTGATTTGTGTGTTACAATGCAATGGAATAATGCTCATTCTTCTCCTTCATAACATGACCCTAAATGGGAGTTCATCAATTCAATAAAATCTTTTATAAGATAAGCATAATATTCAGCCAATCCATCTAAGGGAAATCATTAAGGCTTAAAAAGCAGCTTCATCTTTTTTGTTAATGATATTTAACACAAAGTGTAACAATGGACCCTTTTCACAAGACTGTGATGACGAGCTTTTCATATTTGTATTATTTTTTTTAAATGTATGTACATTTATAACACTATTCTTTGTATTATATCACCTTTGCATCAAATTACAAAAAACAGTTAACAAAATGTGAGGGTGTTTCTAATGCAGCGTCTATGGGAGGGGATGGTAAATTTGACATCGTTCTCTCTTCTGACTGCCGTTATCAGTCTCTCTCAATTTTTTTCCTTTTATTGAAAGTCATGAAAACACTATCGTGGAGTTTTTCTTTTGCTATTTGAGCAAATGGGAACGCAAAAAAAAATATTTTTGTGGTACTCTCCCATTCACTGCTCTTCAAGTTAACCCAACAATGACGACTTCCGCTGCTGAGAAACCCGGAAATGTGAAAAAGGTCCATTGGCAGATTTTACATTACACAGTATCTGCAAGTTGATATATAATTCAGGAACAACTACTGAAGAGATCCACTGATTTAAAAGACACTTGTTTACTGTAATGCCAAAATAATAATAATTACTACACTGTAAAAAAAATCAAGTTGTAAATAAAATAATGATTATTGGAGTATGTTTTACAAGAAAATATTATTTCAGTCCTTCTACTTCAAAATGTAATGTTTCATTCAATGTGTTACTTGCTATTTTTGTCATTATTTGGCAAAATGACTTGGAATTTCTGAGTGAAAATTGTTTCAACACCAACTTTTTTCTCAGTGTATATGATACAGTGGACATAATGGCTAAACAGTGATCTTTCTACAAGTTTCATATACTTTTTTATGAAAATACAATAATAAATGGTCTTGACGTTGGTCCAGTGTATTTTGTGCCTATCAGCAGGTTCCCACACCTGCTTAAGATTTAGCAGCACATTACATACATTTAATATGAGCAAATCAAAGCAAATATGTGGTTAATAAAAATATTTTTATTTATTATAATTTACTTAAAAGTAAAAATTTGATTATTTTTCTGACTGATTCCTTGACATCTAAATGACTACAGGGCAATATCCCACATCTTTCAAGACTATTAGGATCATAAGGAGGCAATAACAATAGCAACATTTGTCTATAATGTTAATAAAGCCCTTATATTAATGTAAATGGATTTGGTCATGCAGGCCGTGTTTGTGTGTGTTGAAGTGTCAGGAAAGGCATATAAAGTTACTGAGCCGTCAGTACGGGTCCAGTTTAATTCGCCTGTGCAGGCAACAGGTGAACACCATTCCACAAATCTGAAACACACACACAGATGATAGAAAATGTATCAAAGTAGCATGAAAATAATAAAGATTGTTTTTTATTTGACTAGATAAGATGGCCATCAGCCACATTTTCATTTCTGGTGGACATCTGTCTGGTCAAATACCATAATAACTTGAACTAAATGAGATACTGGCAGGCATCTAGCGGCAGAACATTTAATAAAAAGAGCTCCAACAATGTCAGGATGGATAATGAAACAAGTCTTGAGATTTAGCTTTTTTTTCAATTAGTTTAAGACGTCAAAGGAATAGTTCATGCAAAAATTAAAATTTGTTGAAAATGTACTCATCGTCAGGCCATCCAAGATGTAGACGAGTTTGTTTCTTCATCTGAACAGATTTGGAGAAATTTAGCATTGCATCACTTGCTCACCAATGGATCCTCTGCAGCGAATGGGTGCCGTCAGAATGAGAGTCCAAACAGCTGATAAAAACATCACAATAATCCACGCCTCCATTCAATCAATATTTTGGACTGTTTTTGCTTATAAACGGTGCTTATCTGTGCATATTTCTCTCCTAATTCAGAAAAGGTGATTTTTCACTGAAGAAACAATATTACGGATAGAGGACTCAAATTTTTGTTAAAAACAACTTGATGAATTTGTTTATTACAAACACACAGCTTTTCACTTCACAAGATGTTAATTGATGTACTGGAGACATGTGGATTATTGTGATGCTTTTATCAGCTGTTTGGACTCTTATTGTGACGGCACCCATGCATTTACTGCAGAGGATCCACTGGTGAGCAAAATTTCTCCAAATCTGTTCTATTGAAGAAACAAACTCTTATACATCTTGAATGGCCTGAGGGTGAGCTATTCCTTTAAAAGCACTGATATTTTAAAAGCCTTGTGGCAATTGTTGAAACTCTCTTCATAAAAGGCTCGCAGGAAGAGGGAAGCGGTGTTGAGTTACTATGGAAACCGAGGTGTAAGGCAGCCGGTAGCAGTGTTGTTGTAATTGGGTCAATTATCATGTGTGGGAGTGTGTGTGTGTGTGTGTACACGTGTTTTTATAAAGGCTACAACGTGTAGGCAGATTCAGACCAGTGGTAACTACCATAATGAAGAGAGCATAACATTCATTTACACATTTCTGTATTTCAAAACGGCATGTCACTTTTAAATATTGCCATGATGGCAGAATAATTCACAGCAACAATTTTGAGATTCACACAGGTGAGTTCTTGGAGAGTGGTACATTTTTTTGTTGTGAAGTTTGTGACCGCATAAAAAAAACACCCTGAGATATTCTTCAAGCTCTAATCCTGGGAAAAACAATTTTAAAATATGTAGGAGATAAAAATATAAGAATCTTACCAAACCTTTACAAACTTAGTCTACATGTTACAAAACATAATCTAAAAATACAGAGTGTTTCAGCATCTAGCCATGCTTTATTTTTCCTCTCTCCCTCTGGAAAACGCTGAAGACAAATCGGAAGCCAGGTCCTAGGAGGGCTCTTGGTGGGCGATCATTTCTACAAAAATGAAGGAGCCTCATCCTACCCACAAACACAGAAATAAACCAGAACTGGAAGCGCAGCTAAACTCAAGTATTTCATTGCCTTAATAATGTTTTACTATTATGGGAAAACCATAAACTTTAAATTGGTTAATCTTTAGTTAACTGTTGGGTAAATGAGTATTCATGGTACATGCCAATAAGGATCTCTGGTTTATGAGTGTTTTTAGAGGTTTCAAATGAACCTCAGAATGGGAACTGTTTATGGACTAAAAATGGGGTACATTCATATGTTAGTTCATAAAACTTGCTTAAATTGTACAGTGCAGCTGAGCGGCTTTATTTCACTTAAATCAGAATGTGAATAAACCCAATATCTATTACAAAGTGTAGATTTAGTAGGTTTTTTCATCTTTTCTAATTGGCAAACTCATACAACATTCTTAAACCATTTGATATTCTTTCTTTAGAAGATATTTTGCAGAATGTCAAAGCTGCTCTTTTCAATACAATGAGAATATGAGTACTCTTATTTGCGCTTGGGGTCAAAAAAAAAAAGTTTTATTTTACAAGAACCAGAAATTTACAAGAACCAGTGATATCTGATGTCAACTGGACCAAACCTGGTGCAAATATATCTTGAAATTCCAATGTTGAGTGTTTAATAACATAAATATACACAAGAGATTTAAAAATACAGAAAAAGAATCAATTTCAGGAAATAATTACTACAGTTGAAATGTTTGGGGTCGGTGTTGCAGTCTCTTATGCTCACCAAGACTGCATTTATTTGGTCAAAAACACAGTAAAACAGTAATATTCTGAAATATTATGTTCATTTAAAATAGCTTATCTATTTTAATATATTTTAACATATTATGACATTTCTGTGATGGCAAAGTTGAATTTGCCAAAAGAAAAGAAAATACATTTCTTTAAAACATTCTTACTGACCCCAAACTTTTGAACAATAGTGTAAATTTGTCGTAAAGAATGATCTTTACACAAAACTGTCATCCGTCATTAGCAAATGTAGAATATAGTGCACCAAAAGACTATTTTATAGTGCTTTATGCCTCTTTTTTGTCATTTTTGGAACTTAAAAGCCCCAGTCCTCATTCACTTCCGTGCATGGAAAAGAGCATCTTAGAAAATTTACAGAATACCTTCCTTTGTGTCCATTTTTCATTTTCAGCTTTAAAAAGCTTGTTCTTTTCACACAACTGTCCTCCATGTCACAAAGCACTGAGTGAGAAGCAGTATTACTGCCAGCACTTCTAATGCTACTCCAGAGGAAAATAAAGCCGGATGAAAGTGGGATTAACTGCATGGGAGAAAGGCACGACAGACAACAAACCGAGAGATGAGACTTATACGCAATCAGCAGACCTACACAAAAAGCTAGGGACAAACAGTCTTTTTTTCTGAGAAGATATGTTGACACCTTTGAAAGTTCTCCTTTTCAACAGTCTAGGTCCAGAGGGAGGGATACAATAGACAGGAAGAGAGAGGCCTGAAATAGATTGGACACATTGGGAGTCCCACAGCAGGCTGCAGGTAAAAGGTTATATCAGGTAAACGGTCGACACTTATTCTCAAAAATACAGATTTTTAACTGAACATATTCAATTATTTGCCTTATCCTGTTATGAAACAATTTTTGTCTCAAAATACAAAAGTTTAACATAATAAAATGCTATTTGGTGCTATTAGTTGTGCGTTTTTGTTCTTTTTTTGCCATGCAGCATTCAGCATGTGTAGAGTAAAACTGCTTGTTTCATGCCAACACATACATATAAGTCATACAGAAAGCATGAGGTGGACATGAAGTGACAGGAATAAGGCACATGGACATGCACACACGCACAGACACGTGCACAAACTCAAATGGCCGACCTTCTTAACGCATAGCGCTTCAGGAGTCAAACATTGGCACTAGCCAGTCAAACATCAGAAAAGTCTTCTTCCTCTTCTTTATAAAGGAGATAAATAAAGCAGGCAGTCAACACTGCTCCTACCAGCCACACACACACACACCAAAAACAGATAAGAAATATACAACCAAAAAGACAGGCTCGGCTATGCGATTCAGTTCGCCCGGCGCCCTCCCAAGTTCTTGTGTGCAGAGATCGCAGACCTGCTGGCGAAGGATACGATAGAGCCGGTCACTCCAGCCGATATGAAGACGGCTCCTTCAGGGAAGGAGGGTTACCATACGTAACCGAGACGATTTATAATATGTGATATTAACTTAAAGGGAGAACTACAGTTTTTAAGTAGTTTCTTCATAGATACACTGCTGCGATTACACAGAAAACATAAAACCAAGCAATTTGTTACAGTATGTTATGAATGTGAACCGATGCTCTAGACCCCTGCAGATCAGCACTGTATTTACAGCCATAATGATGGTAATAATGAAATATCACTGAAGAGGATCAATTTAATTAGCGCTCCCTCTAGAGAGCCGCTTCAAGCTACATTGTGGCTTTTTACAGTAAAATCATTACATTCAATTCAACACAGGATTTATTTTTAGTCACCTAATCACTCCAGAGCTTCACATTTCCTGGATGAAATGATCACATGACCAGCAGCTGAGATCTTGATGCTGGAAACGATGCATTAACGCTGCATATCATGAAGTCCTGACGTACTTACAGTTACAGTTTAATGCATCTACTTAAAACTTGACAGAAAAAAGTTCAGTTGACTGTTAATTCAACTGACTTTGGGGAATTTATTTAACCCTTTTGATCTACTATATGGGACTAACATCCAATATACGACAGTATATTGCATATACTTTGCATATACAGTGCAAAGTATAGACTGCGTCCTAAATACCATACACTACATAATGCACACTACCTGTACACACCACATATTAAAAACATTTTAGTAGAACACAGTGTTCTAACGGCTTGTTAAAAGTTACTGGACTTACATGGAAGACACTGATTTTATAATATAAACAAGATATAAACAAGTTTGTTTCGGCTAAGGGAAAAAAAATAAAAAAGGTAATTGCAATTTTTTTATCTCACAATTCTCGCAATTCTGAGAAAAAAGATATAAACTCAGAATTGTGAGATATACACACAATTTTGAGAAAAAAAAATTTAATGGTGAGAAAAAAAGCTTCTGTACAACATAAAAACATTAAAACCACCAATACCCACTAAAAAGACAAGAAGTGGGATAAACTTCTTAAAAGTCTAATCTATGGTCATTATACATCCCTCCCGGGCTCAGAGAATCAATATGAAGTCAGAGCTAGAGTCACATTTCAGTGGTGTTTATATACAGAGTTTATTCAGAGGAAACAGATCAATGGGCCTCTGCACCCCTGCAGTGAATGCAGCACTCACACTGTGAGATCTGCACTTAAAGCTAAGAGCTCTTTATCTCTCTTTCTTTCATTTTCTCGAACCTGCATGTGGTCTCCACCTATTTTTACCCAGCGAGTAGTGCTCTGTGAGACTACCGTGCGCATTACCGGTCGGGGGCAAAAACAGAGTCCATTAAATGATTGCCCGCAGGTCATTGCATCAGCTATTTTTGTGAAGGCTTTCATGTTATTGAACCACATCAGAAGAACTTAATGATCCATTGTTCCTACTGTTTCTCTGAGATATACTTCATAGTAATTGGACATAAACATAAAAAATATATTGTAAAGTATGCAGGTTGTACAGTACATGATGAGTTCAACTCAAAGTATAAATATACAATAAATAAATAATACCATATACTGTATATACATATGCATATGTTTGAGGTCACTATTTTTTTTTTTTAAACAACTGAATAATTTTATTCAGCAAAGACACATTAAATTGACCAAAAGTGACAGTAAAGACATTAATAATGTTCTATTTCAAATGAAAGCAGCACAACTCTTTCCAACCCTGATAATAATAAATGTTTCTTGAGCAGCAAATCAGTATATTAGAATGATTTCTGAAAGATCATGTGACACTGAAGACCGGAGTAATGACTGCTGAAGATTAAGCTTTGCAATCACAAGAATAAATTACATTTTAAAATAGATGAAAACAGAAAACAGTTATTTTAAGTTGCAATTATATTTCACAATATTACTGTTTTTACTGTATTTTTGATCAAATAAATGCAGCCTTGGTGAATATAAGAGACATTAATATTAAATACCATACTGATCCTAAAGAACAGAAGTATATATATATATATATATATATATATATGCCCTTTGTGGAGCTTGACAGCTGTGGTAGTCTTCTACACTCATGTATAAGACTCATGTATAAGAAAGAGATCATTTCTCTTTTTGTGTTCCACATAAAAAATAAGTTAACATGTTTTTAGAACAACACGATGGTGAGTAAATAAATGTAAATAAATTTTTTTGTGTGAACTATCCCTTTAATTGCACAGTACACCTGAGGAGGGCGGGGCTTACCTGTAGACAGGCCACGCCTATTCCCACAGCACCAATAATGAGCAAGTGATCTGCCAGAAACTGCTCCAGTTTAGTGATACAGCCGCCCTGTAAGAGACCACAGCACTGTTAACTACTTCAGTTTAATGTATATATCATGTTCTTTTCTTTTCAGTGTCAGTGCCCATTTGTGAATGTGTAAATTGATTTATTTTGCAGACTGATGAAGAGTTACAGCTATATGGGTGATTTTTTTATTGAGTGATTTACGTGACAGTATCGTGGATACTGCCTCAACATATCACGTATAGAATAAAATTAATGGCCCACTAGAGGCCAGTAAAACCAGTGTCTTATTGTATTATGTATTACACCAGAGGACGGTTCCCAAAGAATACATATAGAGAGCTTGGCAGCCGTATACTGTAGTGTTACCTCACACTTTACAAGCTCATATATGTTACCAGTCACACCTGCTTTGCTCACAGCTGTGCTTTTTTAGTCTAAATGACTCCCAAGGGGCATATCAAACATGATGATATGGTTCACAGGCGTATTGTAGTTCCCACAGACAATGAGCAAGCATCTGAGCCTGTGGTGGCTTTGTCTGAAACCACCATACTACAACAGTACATTAACAAAGCCCCTTTAGTGTACTTGAATTTCTGTGTTTTGTAAAGCAAGTTAAGTACAGATGAATAAACACATGTTGCATAAATATTGTGTGTGGGGGTTGATTTGAGGTTAACAGTCTCTGACCCACCTCCACCTTGTAGATGTTTGAGGGGTGGTCTCTCTTTCCACACTGAGGGGTGATGGTCTTACAACAGCTGTCAGGGACCAATCTTTTCTCCGCTTCTGGGGACATGATGTACACGCTGTGTGCCCAGTCAAAGGAGTTGTTGCTCCCGCAGCACTTGAACTAAAAGATGAAGGTGAGGGAGTTATGGGATGAATTAGGATCAGCGTGCAAAGTGGTCTGGTATGGGGTGTTTCTGCACTATTTGTATTTCTGCATTATTTTGTGCACAGTAGTGATTTTACATGATGTTTAGAGGTAGTAGGTTGTGTAGTGCATTCAGTTTAAATTGTAAAAATGCTTAAAGTGCTGGTAGTCAGAAATAATAATAATTAAAAAAATAATAATAACAAAATAAAATGTATTTAAAAATTGTACTTTTAAAATAAAAAACATTAAATATAAAAATGAGATGAAATCAAAAATATGAAATCAAAATAAAATATTAAATAAAAACAAAATAAAAATATGACATTTTATTTAAAAAATAAAAATATGTATTAAAAATAAAAAATAGAAAAAATATAATGAAATAAAAAATATTAAATGAAAATAAAACATTAAATGAAAACAAAATAAAATAAAAATAAACAAATAATTTATTAAAATAAAAAAAATGGGACTGAATTTTCTACTTTTAGCACTGATTAGATTCATTCATGTTCCATTACCATCACACAAAAATCCAATTTATCCTCACTGTAATCCAATTTTAAAATAATCTGTCCTACCCACATACTCTTGTTTTTTGTCTCTAATCTAATTAAATAAAATGTTCAATACACTAATTCTGAAATTTGTGTGTACAGGAAAAACCAGAGGTGAAAAGGCCCAGGAACATTCTGGGATTTGGCATTTCTCACATCCTGCTGTAGTCTGTCCACAGAATGTGTGATGCTCTCTTTTCCAGGTTGGGCATAGTTCTCTGTCATCGTCTTGCTCAAGTGCTGCTTCAGCTCTTCACTCAGCTGTGAGAGACAGAGAGATGAGAAAGACAGAGAGAAATGAACAAAAAGATAGAGAGTGAGCAGTATGCAGTGTCATCTGTCAAATGCCAGTCATCTATGGTTCTACAACTAGATCCATCATAAAAGCAATTTGGAGTTGGTTCTTTAGATCTTTTGTTTTGTAGCAATATTGTCTAAAAGTGTGTCTATAAGTTCACTCACTGCCTGGTAATAAACGTAGGCCAGAACACCAGCCACCAACTCAATTAGAAAGATCAGAAGCAGACAGGAGAAGTACTGTAGAAAAATGCACAAAAAAATGACATCCTTATCAGAAAACAGGAAATCCAGTCATTGCCACTCTTAGATACTCTATACAAATTGTAAAATACTGTTTCCTGTTATACTAATTATTAGATATAAAGTCATGTCAAGGGGATGTTCCATAAAACAAAAAATTTAATAAATGGTCAAATAAATTAATATAAAAATTGAACTGCTAAAAAGGGCAAATAAACAAACAAACATGCAAACAAACAAACAGAAATCTATTTAAGTATCAAAACAATTACAAAACAATATAATTTAGTTTAGATTAGATTAATTTAATTAACTATTGAACTAAATGCTAAAATGTCACCTATAAACAATAAACTTTCACAATCACAGTAACTAAAAATCTTTTGTTCAGAAAATGTTCAATTTGTAATTAATTAGTTTCATTTGCCTTTGTCTTTATGAAGCATAATTTTAAATGGATTTCCTCTAAAAGAAACTATCTTACAACAAGGTTGTTTATTCACACATCAACAATCAACATTCAAAATGCTTCAAAATGTAACCATATTTTCCCTGTCATAGGGATAAAGTAAATAAAATTGGTTTCTAAGAAATTTCTTGCTCAGAGCTGGCAGAGGTGGAGATGCCTGACAGATGAAAATAGAAGACACAGTGACCTTTTCCTCGGAGGAAAATAAAACAATAAATGACTAAACTGAATAAACCGTCCTAGTTTAATGTGGTTGCAAAAAGGTGGAACATTTCCAGTACATTTCAGAAATATTTCAGAAATTTTGGAAACTTTCCGGGATTTTTTGGAACATTCCAGGGATTTTTGGAAAGTTTCCGGAAATTTACTGGAAATTGTCCACCCCTTTGCAACCCTAAGTGTGGGGGAGAGAGAGTGGGTGATAACAACCCCGAATCTGCCTTTGAAAACGTTTTCAGGGAAATATTTATTGTGGCATAACTGAAAACAAACCATCCAACAAACAGAACAATATTTCAAAATTATACATAACTCAAACTCACCATGTCTTTCTATGAACACACCAATTTCTATTTTAATTGTAAAGGGAGTACTGAAGTTGAACTGAAAAGTCAGTTTCCATCACTAATCAGCAGAATAAAATATAACCAAAGAACAGAAATATGCGTATCAAATTATGTACAGACTGTAGACCGAACCACAGAATCAAGAGATGCCACAAAACAGGAAACAAACTGTCTGTCAAAGTGGATGTGTGTGAGAGAAGAATAAATTAGAGCAAACAAACACAAACATACTGTACACACACATCCATACATGCCGCAATTCTCATTTAGAGGTCGAAAGAAAGGACAGGAAGTCCGATGTAATTTATATAAACACCAACACGAGCACTGAAGCAAATTAAATGAACTGATTCAAGTTTATTCAAACAAAACAGTGCACTGAACAGCTGTTAACCTCACGGCAGCTGTCGCGTGTGGACATTCATGCATATATATGTTTTTCCCAGAATGCAATGCACTCAGATCAGACCGGCAAAGGCAGTGTCCTCATTACTAATTTCTAGCGTGGTGGTGCTCCTCAGTAGATTCATACATCTGAGTGAGAATGGGCTATAAATAGCACTGCTGCAGTGGCAGTCACAACCTTGTTGTCTCTTTCTCTCTTTCGAACAAACACAAGGTACTACCTTTTTAAAAAAATGGCGAGAAAGCAGATGCCTGTCAGCTCATTTGTCACGGCTGCCATGGAGCCAGTTCTGCTTTGTCTATGGACACTCAGTGCCGCCCCCGTGACTAACAAGCGACAATAACTGAGGACTGAGAAGACGCCGGAATCTAAAGCAATTAGTGGTTGGACAATGGATAAATTGGCGCAACTGATAACATGTTGTCCTCTCATTCATCTCCATCCCCTCACCGTGGACAGACAGCTCTTCTGCTCACGTATGACGGCGCAGCAGCCCAAGAACCCCGTGACCATCACCAGCCCTCCTGCCAGGATCAGGATGTAGGCGGACACGGCGAATGTACTGGAGGCCAGCAGGCTCAGGTACTCTCCTTTATCGACCAGTGTCCAGATCCCGACACCCATCACCACCCCACCGCCCATCTGAAAGAGCAGAATACATCTCAACATATCAGAATGCTTCTTCTAATACACAAGTTTAAAGGGGTCACATAAAATGAAATCAAACTCAAAATGTCCTTCTTAGTCCAAAAATACTATTCATTGTATGTAACCCACAAAAATGGCTTGTTCCAAACATCCAGAACTTTATGATGAATATGAATACACATGACAGCACACATTTTGAACCTCTTACAACAAAATGTTTGCTTACTGAAGAATGGGGCAGCACAAAAAATGGCCTGTAATTTTAATTTAATTTAAACTTTAATTAAAATGTATATATATATATATATATTATATTAATTTATTTACATTAATTTAAATTAACATTTTATTTAAAAATATATATTCACATTTAAAATGACTAGTTTTGACTGTTTTTTAACAAACTCTCATTCTGACGGCACCCATTCACTGCAGATGATCCATTGGTGAGCAAGTTATGTAATGCTAAAATGACTATATATATATATATTATATTAATTTATTTACATTAATTTAAATTAACATTTTATTTAAAAATATATATTCACATTTAAAATGACTATATATATATATATATTATATTAATTTATTTACATTAATTTAAATTAACATTTTATTTAAAAATATATATTCACATTTAAAATGACTAGTTTTGACTGTTTTTTAACAAACTCTCATTCTGACGGCACCCATTCACTGCAGATGATCCATTGGTGAGCAAGTTATGTAATGCTAAATTTCTCCAAATCTGTTTGGATGAATAAAAAAATCTACATCTTGGATGGCCTGAGTGTGAGTAAATTTTCAGCACATTTCAATTTAATTTTAAAATACATATATATATATATATATAGGATTTTATAGTCTGGATTTTCACTGTAAGTCCTATTGATTTCTTTTGGATACTGAGGCATAAAGAATTTGTTCAGAATAACTGCGGGGACATATTGATTTGCTGATCACGTGTTATAAATGTATGGAGAAAGCCCTCGCCGTGTGTCAGTAGTAATCACTTAGAGTGCTTTTTCTAAAGGGTTATCTACCTGTATTAAGCAGTGAATACATATTAGTTATCATGGTGATAGACTCCAAATGTAGAACTTTGAATTTGGAATTAGGATTTAGTACAAAATAATGTTTTATTCATTGCATTTGCATTTATTATTCACCTCACTGTGAAGGTCTGCCTGATAAAGACAAACTATCCTCTTGTCCACTCTGTTGACAAACCGATGGCGTTGGCTGGGATTTGGGACACATGCAGGCTTTGTGTCGTTATGGGTTACCACAAGTATTCAAAGAAATGTTTCAAGAATTTTACGGAAGCTTGATCTTCTTATTTACTCCTAATACCGATTTACTTAAAAAAAAAAAAGCTGTATTATTAAACCACATATTGATTTACTTCAAAAGAAATGTTGCATTATTAAAACATTTAATAAAATATTGAACTTTAAACCAAACCAATGGATGTTTTTTTTTCTTTAGAAAAAGCTGTAATAGTACACTCTAAAAAATGCTGGGTTAAATACAACCCAGTGCTGGGTAAAATAGGGACAAACCCAGCAATTGGGTTGTTTTGACCCAGCAGTTGGGTTAAATGTATAACCCAACCATATATATATATATATATATATATACACACACATTTTAAAAATTAGTAGTTTTGACTGTTTTTTAACAAAGTGGATAGTGGAACTGAGGGGGAAATGAAAATGTGATTGATAAGCAATAATGACAGCAAAAAGATCTTTAAAAGTCTTCCATTTAAAGACATTAAATAAACAAAGACATAAAAACTGTAAGGTTGGATAGATAGCGAGGACAAACAATGATGAGAAGGTAACTGGAGTTAATTCTAGATATCAAACTGAAACTCCTGTTTCAAATGTTAAACAGTTATTTCATAGTTTGACAGGCTTGTCATTATTTAACCAACTCAAATAATCATTCACTCACCCTGAGATTTCAGCACAGGTTAATTATCCACCTGTGTGGTGCTGTGCAAAGTAAAGACTTCATTCATCTCTATGCATACACACACTCATTTATCTGTTTCTCAGATCTATCCAATTCGGAAACTGAGGAAAATCCAACAAGGCTCCTCCCTTCAACACTTCCAGCTCTTTCCATGATACTCTCCAGTGCCAAACTCAAACAGCAGCTATCCCAGAGACCCATTGTCTCTTTAATGCTCCCTGAGCTGCTTGCATACCACACACAGTGAGGACTTGGAGTTTGAGGAGGAAATTTCTTTACAAAAACTCTGTATTGAATGAATCACTAGAGTATATACTGAATATATTTCAGATGTTAAGCTTTAAAGGAATAGAATAACTCAAAAATGAAAATGAGTCATTACTTACTCACCCATGTCAATTCAAACTTGCATGACTCTTTTTTTCCATGCAGCACAAAAGGTGAATATAATGAAAGTGAATGAGGACTGTGTGTGAGATACAGACTGAAATACATATGGACCAATTTTATGATACTTTTATGGTGCTTCTTTGTCCTTTTTTAACTTTGAGCATTTAAAAAAGTACAATACAGTACAATATTCTGAATTTCTCTGTTTGTGTTCCACAGAAGAAAGTCAGTCATACAGACTTGGGTGGACTATCCGTTTAAGTAAGTGGATTAATGCACAGGTTTATGCATTCTAGTTGAAGGTGTGGTTTCTGAATCATTTCCTGGATTTCTCTTCTTTTTTGGTCTAGGATTTATGGAAATCCATCTGTCTGAAACTGCAGTAGAGATGTAATTACAAAGATGAATTCAATTAAATAATGTTTCATATTGAGAAATGCTTTTTCTCAGACAGCAGGTTTGTCCACTCAGAACAACTTAGAAAACACATTCAACTCTAGAGGGCACTGTACTTGTTGAGCTAATACACAGGTGGGTGGGAAGAGAACAAGAGAAAGGAGATGATGGGAAAAGACTCAGACTTAAAAAAAGGTATGAACGTCACGCTTTTTCATTCACATACACACTTTTTCTTCCTACCCTTTGTCTTTTGTCTCTCACTGCATCTGATATTTCATAAGAATGCTGCCTAAAACAGAATATGGAAATATTCTCCAAACATCGTTTCATGCACGACAAAGTGAAACAACAGCTTAAAATCAACCTTTTATCTTTAAACCGTTGCTTCAGAATACAATTCCATTATCCGTAATAATGAAAAAGTGAAGAAGTCAATCCCCTGTTGTCCTCTCACATCAAAATATTTGTTTAGAACTGTTTTGGACTGTTTTCACTTGTAAACGGTGCTTGATCTGTGCATATTTCTCTCTTTATTCAGACGAAACAACTTTTATGGATAGAGGATTAGTTTGAAGTTAAAATACTTTAAAAATGGATTTTCACTTCACAAGATGTTAACTGATGGACTGGAGTCGTGTGGATTACTTGTGATGTTTTGATCAGCTGTTTGATCTCTCATTCTGACGGCACCCATTCACTGCAGAGGATCCATTGGTGAGCAAATGACGTAATGCTAAATTTCTCCAAATCTGTTCCGATGAAAAAACAAACTCATCTACATCTTGGATGGCCTGAGGGTGAGTAAATTTTCAGCAATTTTTAATTTTTGCATCTAAGACTCACCCAGAACAGGAAGTTGAAAACGAAGAGGAGGTACTTGAGACACACTGTGATCCAGTCGTCCTGCTCATCCTTATACAAGCTGCCCATCTCTCCTGTTGGTGAAAAGAGAGAAAAAAGAAGTGCTACAGAAAAGAAGTTCTCATGAAGCGGTGGTTGTTCACTCTTTGCGTATTTACGAGGCAAAATGGGAAAAGGACAAAGAAGAGGAGGTGGGCAGGAGCGTAAACAGGCTTTTGGAAAGATGGCAGTCAAACACTGTTCTTTTCCATGACATGTTAATTAACAGCTGTGGCCCATGGGTTTCTGCCACAGACAGACGACACGCTCACGTCTCAGTGCCTAGTGTGGAGGCGGTGCATGTCAAAACAGCCGCCATGTATGGCCGATAAAATGAGGGTGTTTGGCTTGTAATGGTTGAAAACACAACAAAACTACACACACTCCAACCCACACTGCTGGTTTTAAAAACCTTGAGAACAACACATGTAGCTCCAGATTAGAAAGGTGACACGTTCTGCTCCAAAACACAAAATTAGACTGCAGACTTTGGTTTATATATAAAAAAAATCTCTGCTATAATGGATTTTATAGTCTGGATTTTCACTGTAAGTCCTATTGATTTCTTTTGGATACTGAGGCATAAAGAATTTGTTCAGAATAACTGCGGGGACATATTGATTTGCTGATCACGTGTT